AGCTATCGATCCAAAAGGCGCGTGTAGCTCCGGTGATGATATCGCCTTGGACATAATGAGGATATTGGTAACCGGAACCACGATATAAATGGTGTTTAATGGATGACTGAGATTCTTGCCACGCATTGAGGAACGCATCGGGAGAATGCTCTTTCTCACTGAGAGGTGCGTAATAATCATCCAGCTTATGAAACGGGCTGGAAATATTAAAAGACGGGCGATCACCCTCGGATAACAGAATATGGGACTTCAATGCATATTCGAAAAAGCTGTCAATTCCAGCGCCAATCTGTCACAAAATTCGCCGATTAGCAGTAATTTCAAGCGAAGTTAAAATTAAGAAACAGTCCAACATACCCCAGTATATGAGGTCATCCATTTCCCCGATTCAGCATCAATGCCGGCTCCAATCAAGCCAATATCAGTACGACGGGACCAGACAGCCCAAAACGCCCTTTTGGCAAGTTCCTCGAAACGACCGTCGCCAGTAAGCCTACTAAGAACTGTACATTCCAGAACCAAACTCCCAGCACCTGCGCTGCACGTCTCTGTGACCTCAGGTTTCCCTGTAGACTTCCCTTGCCGTTTGCCCTGGGCATTTCCCATGGGGTCAGAGGTTTCTAGTGTTGCTTCTGCGTTCAAAGGTGAGTTGGTGTAAAATGGAACACCGTGTCGTAGGTTAACGCGGGGATATGGAAGACCCGTTGCGGTGTAGAAAGCCGGAAGGATTCTGGTCCCAAGATCCATCGCGAGACGAAGCAGCTGTCCGTCATAAACGAATCCATTTTCCCAGCGGATACCAGGCTGGCCCTTAGTATGGCCGCTTTTATTCCATAGCTTCGCGTAGGAGGCTTCGTCTTCCGGGGGCTCGTATCCACGGATGGGTAATTCCCCTACTGCGAAAAGATGCGCGCTCAACAGGCCGCCTATTTAGGTGACAGACGGTCAATTGTTGGTTCGGATATTCCTAGTGCTTTATGTCTGATAAATTTGGACTTATATTCTGCTTACCTAACCCCCGAATCACGGTTTCAAAAACCTGGACCTTGCTGTCTGAATCGAACCCTTTTCCCTTTGAGCCCGTACCAGCAGGCCCATCTGAACCGTCTCCATACAACTCAACCAAATCCCGCACTCCGTCCTGAAAATATCTCCATGCCTTGCGCGAGGCTTCCAAATCTGAAACCGAATCGGACGAAGAAGGTGGTGGAGAGGACGATAGAATTGCCAGGGTAGATAAGCTGTCGACTAGAGTTAGGGAATAATTCCCCAGAACATCATTAAGTTCAACATGAGCAGGATTTCCACGATCGCGAGTTAACGGGCCACAAGAGACTGGTTTCAATTCATCTTCAGGAAACGCATGCTTCATGTAATTCTCGTAACCGTGGTAGAACATTTGTTCTGTTTCTTTTCTAGATTTAAAAAGTACATAAATCAGATCTTCGAACCTGACCAGCTTATTCTCTACATTCACCTTGCTTCCCACAGGAGATATATGGCTATATTTGCATACCTCAACTCCCTAATCTGTCCCCCTCTCATCCCCCCAACTGGCAGAATCCATAACGAGAGAGCTACAATAGCTCCTAGCGTCCAGACCGTCACCGTCCATTCCGCAACACCACGAAAGACGGGCATTTGGAAATAACGTCGACATCTCGAGCGCATCACCAACGACCAAAGGAATAATTGTAAAAGGTCTGGAATATCATGGATAATCTCCGGCACCCTCAACAATGCCGCCTGCTTGATAGAGTTGGGCGAACAAAAATGTTTCTTGCCTCTCCGTTACTCATCAACGGTACAGGTACACTGGACGAGGGGTACAGGGAGGATGAGTTTGCCAGTTCATTCGAAAAAAAAAAAAAAAAAAAGGAAAAGAAAGAGGAAAGAGATGGTATTATATCTACTGATTCCGTCCCATATGCAAGCCCGTTGCGCTCGGATATAAGTCGATGCTTAACGGTGTAAAGTTGTGATATTTCGGACTTTGACCACAGTATCCAGTTGGTAAAACTGGCTAACTAGTTAACTAAGCTCCACTCCTGATTATATCAGCAGCTACCAACAGTAATGTCTAACTAACTAATCGTGCCGCTGCAACCCACACCTCATGTGGGTGCGCCACATCAAAATAATAAAAACATCAAAATGATAAAAATCTTGAATCACATCTTCATTATTGCAGTCTATATCAACAATCAGTAGCTAATCTATAATAAAAAGATTATCTACATCATTCTCAGTATGTGTGCCATCTCTAAATTGATTTAATTCCTCTTCTGTCAGTGATGTGAGTGAGTTATTGTCAATTTTCATAAGATCAATTGTAAGTCTCTATTACTTCTTATTCTACTCTTTTTCAGCTTCATTATTCTTACACTGCTTGATTTTTCTATTGACATCTTTAATAGTGAGGACTCTCTTTACTTGAATCTGATGACAGATTGTTTTAGCTCTGCAGCATTTACTGATATTGAGAAAGTTCTATAATTCAATAATTTATTGCTCATTAAGTTTTGCATAGATTAGACTTGCTTTAAATATCTTGTTCAAATGACATATCAAGATAAGTGATTTCAATTTGAGAGTATCTCTAATACTTTGTATGGTGTTTTCTGCAATATTAATATAATATTTCAGCTTTTAAATTGTTTTTGATAAAAATAACTAAGAAGAAGAGATAGATATATGATTTAAATCATTCTTATCTTCATAAATCTGCAATATAGAAGATGATAAGATTTACTACTTAACAGCATCAAGAACTCAGTTAAAATTTTATGAATATATATCATATTAAGCTTATTCTGTAGCTATTATATCAGATTTAAAGATCTACTTTCATATAGCTAAGAGGTTTTGTAGAAATTGCTGTTTTTCATATTTAACAAGATTATGATATACAGTATAGTTGACTGCTTTTGAATGAAAATGCTTATATTGCTGAAATGATATACTATTCAGAAATTGCAGCAAATGAGTAACATATAATGAAAATTCATATTAAATTATCTTATGAAGATTTTTATATTGTATGAACTTCTTAATCATATGAGATTCATAATTGTTCATTAAAAGTAATTAATAACTTCTCTTTTGTCTCTTTTTTATAGTACTATTGAAATATTTAAATCATTTAAATTTAATCTCATTATTTATAAATTTAGTATCTAATATAATAATTCTATAATTACTGAGTAAATCTGTCTGTGTATATCAATTCTTCAAATATATTTTGATGATCAAGATTATCAATAATAGATTAATATGATTATTTACAGATATATATTCAATGACTATAATCAAATCTATTAAAAAGAATAAAAAAAAAATAAAATTAACTTCTTTAAAAGCAACTATAACTTATTCTTCACATCTTTGTTCTTCTTGAAATTCAATCTCATCAAATTTGTATATATTATAGATGTGAAATTAATACTGCTTAAATAGAATCTGAAAATATTTAAATTATATATTAATATATTCAATATCTTTAATTGTTACTCTCTTTAAATTCATTAACTTCTATTTCACTCTTTTATACTTAAATAGATATTCAATGAACCTATAAGTACACATCTTGCTAACTTTTGAAAAGGAGGTAGTAGAATTTAAATGCTGATATCTAAATATTGAATTTATAAAATCTTCAATATGTTCAGCTATAGGAGGATAATTTTTTTCATCAAGTAGCTTAATTCATTGTTTAATTGCATTCTTCTAACTTTTATTTAATCTCTTGTTAACTGAAATCTTTGCAGTATTTAAATTCCTTCTATTGATATATGCTCAGAGATATTGATAAGAAACCTCAAATTTTTATAACAGAGATAGTATTTTAAAATTTGAGTTTTTTTGATGATAAGTGACAGCTTTTTGAATATGATCTTCAATATTTTTATCCTTATTTGACATTGTGGTGAGTTATTAATTGATGAAGATGATGAAGATGATGAAATTGCAAGATTTTTATCATTTTGGTATTTTTATTGTTTTGGTGTGGCGCATCCACATGAGGTGTGGGTTGCGCAGCGGCACGATTAGTGCCGGGCAACATCCTGGGGTTACAGCTGAACATTGTTTACGGAGGATCAAGTTGAGCATTGCTCTGCACATCGAATTAGTTATTATACATCCCTCTTCAACCTCTGCCCTCAACGCCAGGGTTAGGGGTAGATTTTAGGATTAGTATTAGGCTAGAACTAAGCATTAGAGGTTAGAATTACAGTTAGTTAAGAGCAAGAATCCTGAGAATCTGATAAAATCTCTATCATCGAGAGTATATAGAGATGATGTGTTGTGAGATAGTTATGTCTCGTGTGTGGTTTTGATGAGAAGATGTCATAAATCAGGCTGACGATTTTTCAGACTTAATTTTGAAATAATGTTCAACTAACTGTACACCCGTAGACTGGTTTATAGCTGAGGTGACCCAGAGTTGATCATGGTTTTAAAATGTGGGCTCAACTTAATAACCACATTCAGCACTTCTTTAGAGACTGTTAACCCCCAACGCTCACAGGTGTAGTTACTCCGCATCAGACCAACAATAGATGAGTAATAATATTTAGGTAGGTAGTTAATATACATTATCAAATATAATCTTCTCTCTTTTCTTGTCTCTTGATACATGCATATTGATACTATGTATATGTTTAGTGTTGATTTTTAGGAACCCGAGCAAACCCCCTGTTTTGTTCTGCCATTTGGTCTAACGGAGCTATGTAACTCTCTCAGAAGTGCCAACATCAATACAGCTTTTAATCCCCCACCCCTATTCCCACCCAACACCCATTATATATAACTCAATCCTCACCCCCTACTTCTCCTAAAGCTAAAACGAAAACAGACACAAGTGCCAGCATCAAAACACAGTAAAATAGACCACATGTGAAAAAAATCAAGAGAAATATAGCATTCAAAGCATTCGAGTTGATACTCAATAGAAAAGAAAAAGGGAAAGGGAAAGCACTCATTTTAAATATTCACGGTTTCTATATCGATCGTTCTGCAGGATGAATATCTGGGTCTTCGCGTGCAAGCGGACGCGGGTGTGACTCTGATGATTCTGTTCCCCTTTGACGCTGTGACGGCAAATCAATGACGTACTGGACTCCATCGTCCGACACATAGCTCGGGGGCCTATTTGGTACATCGTTAGCGCTATTGACTTCCGTACTTCGTCGCACACCTGCCTCTTCGCGTCGTTGCCAATGTACAAGGTTGGGATTTATTTTCTATAGCAGAGGATATTATTAGTCACACGTTGACCATTTCCGTGGGATTTCAAATGTGAAATTTGGGGGAAAATAGAAATAATTTTTTTTTGGAGTTGCATCAGTGAAATCATGAAAGAAATGGATGAAATCGATATTTGGATTGCTCTGTACATACCACACTACTCTTCCAAAGACCATAAGCAGGAGGTGGTAGCGTGAGACCATTCGAGTTGTTGCTGCCGGTAGCGTTGTTCGCATGCACGTCCATGCCCATAACATCCTCTTCATCCCGGGCCAGAATGACGGGTATGGGTCGGTCCGGTTGGGCGTATCCAGACGTACCAACTCTCTCTCCCATGTGTAGAGCGTATGGCGGCGCTTGCCGCCATGCGATCATGAGGAAACGGATAAAGGAGTGGGAGAAATATATCACCAGGAGCATGAGCACTAAGATGAGCACAACATGAAATTCACGTCCTAAGACAGAGAAAGAGAAAGAAAGGACAATATCTAGTGATAAATTGGTAAGTATGTGACCTGGTCATCCAACATTCGCCTGACTTGGTAGAGCAGTTATTGATTGTGTTTTGCAAAGGCTTAAAAAGAACTTAGTGGAAATAAAGATTGCTCAAAGCACTTACAAATGATGAAAACCGCGATGAGGAGAAATCCAGCCAATACACAATCGATCAGCTTTCTCCTCGCCTCCTTACACTTCACGCCAGGTCCACAGCAAAAACGGTTCGATTTGGACTTATCGTAGTTTCTGTGTCTAATCCACGTTCCCGCATATGCTCGTCCGTCTTCCCTGGCAGACGATAATAAATTATTATTTGAACCGTTCACATCTTGTAAAAGGGGCCCCTGCGTCTGGCCAGTTTCGTCGATATCAATGCTTGAAAGTGCAAACGGCTGTACGTCCATAGCGGATGACGGCGTATGCCGGTCTATGAAAGGACTGATGGATGAAGGTGGCCTCCTTATTCTAAAAGCATTACCGCGTTGCTGTGGCCGGGAGTTTTCAGCTCTTTCGCCAGAAAACAGACGCAGTCCTATTCGAGGCGCTGGAGGCTTTGAAAAAGGCGGCACATTTTGCGCGCCAATACTCGAAGTTCCGGTAAAAAAAGACCCAACTCGGGCACGAAAGCCGGAATGATGCCGTCTCGTTCCTGGGGATTCCTGCCGTCCTGATAAACAGATAGAAGGCTCCATCGCAATTCTCCTTAATCCTCTGCCCTATTGATTCCGAAAATCTTACGTGAAAAATGTATGTTGTGCGGGGAAAACGGGAACTTATACATGGAGTGGTAACTAGATATAAATGCCCCCAATGGACGAGAGAATCAAGATTTTCGTACTCCCCCACAACGATGATGCCTTCGTCACACGCACGTAATGTATCTGGCTTCGTATTCCCCTCCGATAGTCAAGCCGTCAATGATTGTTGAATAAAAAGTCGCGGTCTACGCGCGACTGATAGTTATCCCTTCTATAACCCGCGACGGGACCCGTGACACAACACACTAATATCTAGAAGGGGTATGATAACAGAAAACGAGTTGTAGTCGATTAATAAAAAAATATTATTGTGGGAGACAAGACCATATAAGATATAGCTCAAGGCATGTTGACAGCAACCGGTGATGAATCCTTAGACCCAACCAACGGGAACCCAAACGCGGAATCAAACTCCTAGACAGGGTGTGAGAACAATGGGAAGGCTGCACTCTGAAATAGATACAGACCGGCGATATTTGTCGTGGGAGTCCTCAAAACGAACGCAAAATTAATGAGAGAAATTGATCGTAGAGGATAGTAAATCAATTCGTTTGGTGGTCAAAGAGAGAAGACTCAAGTAAAGGAATGAATGTATACAAAGGAATGAGTGGGAACGGAAGGAGGGAATTTGCCGGACTTCGCTCTCCTGACCAGCGGTTGGGAATGCGAATAGCTGTTCAATACCTATTACTAAAAACGAGGTGTGTATACAGAAAGAAAAAGAAGAAGCAAAAAAAGAGGAGAGTTTCCTCCTCGATCAATCATCAGCATTTCTGGGTCCATTAGTGGGATACAGAGACCCGTAGCGACCTATAAGTTGCTGAGGACGGAGAATGAAAAGCTGGTCCTCAAACTCCAAGCTTTGGTCAGTTTGATCATGCAGAAAGGGATATTTGGTACAACCACGCAAGCGTGGAGCAACACAGACACTCAATGGGGTGGCCAGGAGGTGGCGGATGATGATCCACGGCCTAGCCCATCTTGCCACGGGAACTAAGCTGGGAAATCTTCTCTCCTCATGCAGTCCATTGGGAGCGGACGGTGTATCAGAGATTGCCCGTTTTTCGTGGACGCAGGATTGTGAAGACCAGAAAAAAAAATATAGGGAGATCTGGTGCAGGAGGCGGGCCCTAGAATAATGACAACAACCGTGTCTTAAATGGGTTTCGGAACGTAGGCTGGGACGTTCGCTTGTTGGCCAGCATCCCCCCTAGTGCTTCATCGAGGTTTCGGCACTTCGTCTACAGCCTACCAAACGCAAGAAGAGTTTCACTGTCGTCAGTTGGGAATGACATGTGAAACAACAAGAAAAATAGAGAAAGAAAAAAAAAATCAAATGAAAGGAAAGGAAAATAGCTCATGCAAATGTAGAGTCTGCCTATCTTCCTAAGAGATAGGAACTAAAACGAAATTAACTCCTCAATTCGGATAGATTTTTACCCTGCAAGTGAAAAAAGGAAAATAAGTAATATATGGATTTTCTCTGACAATGCCACAGTCATTTTCCTATCTCTACGTTCTCTCAATGAAAATAAGCATTAGAAAACGAACTCTGAGATTCGCATTCTGAGAGAAGCATCATGACAGGCAATATTCTAGGGGTGGGGCATTTAATATTACAACCCCCATTACATATCTAAGTAGCATCAGGTAGCAAGGAGTAAACTATAAATAATGCAACATCACATAGAACACAACCCTATCAACCTAGGAGCCTGAATATTAAGGGAGAAACATGACACTTCTGGGTGCGTTTGAAATTCACTACCTTCCCTCGTTTCGGAGCTTTCCTGGAGTTTGAAAGGCGTCTGTTTGATTGTCAAGGACGCTTGGTGGGACTTTTGTCCCCGTCCAGATTGCATGGGCGCGGGCAAAAAAAAATATCCGGTGAACAGTAGAACAGAGGTGAAAGGGCACTGGCTAGGCGGTGGTGGTGGTGTACGACATCATATTGTACAGAAACACAAGTGCTGGTAAATTGAAAAAAGAAAATAAATATAGGAAGCCCGAACGCTAAGTATTTCTATTGAATGCCAATTAATTCATGCATGGAATCGGGTTTTCCGCAAGCCAAATTAAAAATCATTTGTAGATTCAAGCCGTGGTGTCTGCGAGAATAATTTCCTTCGCTAGCATGTCGATAAGGCGGGACTTCGGAGGAATTGAAACAATATTGAAACGCCGTTACCGAGAGGTATCTATTTGGATAATGCAATTTTATTTCCCAAGCTCCCCAAGCATAAGATTCCGATCTGACGAGCCAGAAACAACTAGAGATACGAGATATTCTGTATTAGCAAAACCGCAATACCCATTTCAAGTAGATGAATCTTCGCCATGGGTTTAGCTCTTTTTTCTATTTTGGAGCTTTTCTTGACTTACTTATAGGCTCCTCGCCGGGTGAAAACCGCACATCGTTCACCGTTCCCTTATGGCCTGGCAGCTTATACAGCAACTTGCCCGACTTAGTATCCCACACAACGACGCTTCTGTCTCCGCTGCCAGCCGCAATCTTCTCCCCAGTCGGATTCCAGCTAGCCCGGATCAAGTTTTTCTCCAACCCAATTGGCGCACCATCATAGATCTTAATATGTCTATCCGCTAGCGCAAATGGCCTAATATCCCACGTCCGCACCGTCGAATCGTGCGAATTAGAAAGCAGCGTTTGCGAATCCGGCGAGATCGACAGAGACGATATCGTATCCGTATGTCCCAGCATTGAGTACGTGATTGCGCGTTTTCGTATATCCCAGACGTGAATATCATTATCGATGCCGCCGCTGTAAATCTCGTTCCCGGCCTCCGCCAACGCAACGGCCGTGACGGGCATTTCCGACTCGAGGAAATCAATCGCATCTTTCTGTCGTGGGTCCCAGATGCCCACGCACCCATCGTCGCTGCCGCTTATCAGCAATTCCTGGCCCCGCCGGCTGACATCGAGACAATTGATGATCTCCTCGTGGCCGATATGGCGACGTATTCGTTGGCCTGATTCGACATCCCAGCTGACTAGGGTCATGTCTGCGGAGGCTGAGAAGATGATTTTGGAATCCCGCGACCAGTGTAGATCTAAGACTGCTCCCCTGTGCCCTGTGATTACCCCGTAGTTCTCGCATTGACCGTATGTTCGCCATAGCACTGTAGGTTTATTTATCCAGGACACGGGTTAGTTTCCCTCAAGGGCAAACACAACTAGATTTCGTAAAATGGCCTACTGCGATAGCCGCCACCAGAGTAAGAACACACGTACATATCGAACGATCCATTGATCCAGAAGCAATATTCTGACCTGTAGGATCAAACCTCGTTGCAAAAACCTCTCCCGAATGTCCTATTCAAGATTCCGCAAGAATCAGCACCACTGCAAAACCGTCCAACAAAAACCTACCATAACTTTCGATCCCAATCACCAAACGCACCTGTAAGTTCCATAATGGGAGCTTCAAGACCACTCGTCCGGGGAATCTGCCAATAGTTCCAAAACGAAACCCGTCAGCTCCTCAAATCACATGTCTTTAAGCCAATAAAACAAAACAAAATGAATAATTTCTGAATTCCACACTGCCAAACGTACAGCCTGTATTAAAGCACCATTTTGCGTCGAATTATTGATAACAGCTACTGCGCTCCCAGTTCCTGGAGTCGCATCTGACCGCGGCCGCTTGACCAGCTGCGTGGACCCAAAGGAGTCCTGCGCCGGGCGCTTTTCAGCAGACATCATGCCTCACGCGACAAGCAGCAGTCGTGCTGCAAGGGAAGGGAGTGTGTTGTGAGGGCTTGAGCTTAAACCGGCTAAATTTGATGATAGTTATAGGAGAAGACCGTTGGATAAGTCCAGTGCAATTGTCAAATTATAATAATTTGGAGATATGATATTGAGTCACAGTAAATGGAAAACCGGTTATATAAAATTGCCAACCAGCAAAAGGGGGATTCGACTGCTTTCAGCGTGAGTTCAAAAGGCGACTTGGTTGTTTCGCAAATACTTGGTGGTTGATTTGAGCGCGGCTAGGGCCCATTTAGCGCCGAAATAGCCACAACTATCGCATCCCAACATCGGCAGCATTGAATCATTCCTCCCATGTCACCACAACAACCCACAAATCTACCAACAGTTACATCTATGATAAATTATATGATACGATGTAATGTCTGACATTCCAGCTACTGTATTACCTCGTCATTAACGTCGAATATATTTTCCAAAACTACATTATATCTCTTTGGACGTTGCGAAGGACCTAAATACATCGGTACCTGTGTCCATTGGCCAAATTGACAGCTAGCAAGGACTCTCAATCCATCAGCATCTACCTACCAACGTTCTTACAGATATCGGAGTCCTTTAACGCTACATTCCACCCATATACAGGCCAACATGGCCTCCACCAAAACCGCAAGAATAGGAGAAGAGTATATATTTCTATCCCCCAATACCTTATCCCGCAAAAGCGTTCCACCCCAATCCAATCCAAGCTAACCTTCCTCTCCCACCCCCTTTTCGCAGGACATGGAAGTAAGTCCCAAACCTACGCAAAATCCAAACTCCATCCTCCATGCTCCCGTCGACCTTACCTTTTAACACAATCCACCACCGCCAGGACAAGAGTCGACAAAGTCAACGCCGAACTCGTAACCCTGACCTACGGCACAATCGTCGCGCAGCTCTGTAACGACTACGACAGCGACTACGCCGAAGTAAACAAGCAGCTAGATAAGATGGGCTACAACATCGGCATGCGCCTTATAGAGGATTACCTGGCAAAATCGAATACGGGTCGCTGTGCGAATTTTCGAGAGACGGCGGATATGATTTCGAAGGTTA